TGTAGTTGCTTAGTGTATGCATCATAGTTGTACATAACTAAGATTCTATAGCCTGAGAATGTTTGGTTTAGCCTTATTTCCTGTTCTTGTTTGATGAAGGGCTTAGGGTAGAATCAAGTATTCGACTGTCTACAGGATCCAGTGTTATGTATTATTAGCATACAAGAGTGTTGGAAGGTTGGTGGAAGTTTCATGGATGAGTTGTGTGGGGTCAGCCCGCCAGTTACATAATATCTAGCCTTCCTGTAGGAAGTGAGGATAGAGTGTATGCGTATTCTAGCGAGTATTGTTAGGGTTGTTGTGATTATCCTCTTAGACATATACGGGTATGTGTGGAAGGTAGTATGGGCTCGTACTACTGGAAGCACAGGACCCGTACGCGTAGCGGGGAAGTCACAACCCCTTGGTTTTTGTTGGGAATTGGTCCCCATGGTGTTATATGTGTTTTATCTGATATCTCCCTGGTTTATTTTCAGTATGGTGGTTACGAGGCGATTTTGAGGAAGGGTCTGGATCAGGATCAGGATCGGGTGGCCAGGATAGGCCAGCATTGATTGAGGACCGGGTTAGGGAGATCATTCAGGAGGAGGTTGTTTCGCTCTTCCGGGCATAGTTACCGAAGATGTTTGGGTCTATTAAGACTGCCATGGTAGATTACTTTGATGATCGATACACTGCACTTTCTGAGATTGTTGCTGCTGCAGCCACCGCAGCTGTTGCTGCTGCCGGGATTGGTGTTGGGAGAGCCTTCCAGTACCACGACTTCGACAATACGAAGCCCCTGATATTTGATGGATTTCATGATCAAATCATATCCATGAGGTGGCTATCTAACATTGAGGGATCTTTCTTCACTTGCTCTTGCCCAGCTGACCAGAAGGTCAAGTGCGCTCTGAACCTTCTTGGGTCCGGAGCGAAGGATTGGTGGAGAGTTGTTACTAGCTATATGAAGCCCTCTTAGTATGGATGCGTTTAGCAAAAGAAATGGGAGCAGAAGTAGTAGAATCTTTAAGCGAATCCTAGCTAGCAACAAATCAATTCAACAGATTCAATGAACTACGAGATAAAGGATGCCGAAATACATTGCCACAACAAAAATATTGGCAAGAACTTTCAAACACTTCACTCTAAAACAACTACCAAGATCAGAAAACAAGTAGGCAGACGCGTTGAGTAAGCTAGCATCCACATCGTATGACCACTTAACAAAAAAATTCATGGTGGAAGCACTTTCAGCAAAAAGCATTAAAGACCAAGAGATTGCAACATTATAAGAGGATCAACCAAGATGGATGACACCATACTTCGACTACCTACTCCACGGTATCCTTCCAGACGGTTGCATGGAGGAAAGAAGGATCAAGATCAAATCACCCCAATACACCATCCGACTTGGAACATTGTACTAGAAAAGTTACCTAACACCTTGGTTGAAATGTGTAACAAAGAAATAAAGTGCATTGATACTTCAAGAAACGTATGTCAAAGAAGCAGGCGCGCACGAGGGGGCCAAAGCACTAGCAGGAAAAATTTTGCATCTCGAAATTTACTGATCGGACATTTACAAGGATGCCATGGAAACCACAAGACAATGCAATGAATGCCAAACATTTGTGCCAACACAAAACCTCCCGACAGCCCCATTAACCAACATTTCTAGCCCATGGTCATTCCACAAATGGGGAATATACATCGTGGGGCCCTTTCCCAAAGCACCGAGAAAAGTCAAATTCCTGGTCGTAGTTGTAAATTATTTCACGAAATGGATAGAAGCAAAACCAATGGCATCAATAAACAGTCGTAGCATGATCAAGTTTATGTGGAAAACATCCTCACACGCTTCGACACTCCTTGTTCACGAGTACGATAACAGTCTGCAGTTCGTTGAAAACCCATTCAGAAAGTGGTGCGAGGAACATCACATACAACAACGATTTACCTATGTAGCTCATCCACAAGCCAATGGACAAACAAAGGTATCCAATAGAACATTAGTGGATGGTATCAGGAAACAACTCAAAAAAAGGAATGACAATTGGATAGACGAGGTCCCCACTGTGTTATGGTCATACAGAACCACTCCTCGCACCGGAACACAAGAAACACCATTCAGTCTAGCATACGACACAGAAGCAGTTCTACCACAAGAACTAATACTAGGCACACTGCGTACACTTTCTTTTGACGAAACATAGAACACTGAAGATTTTCGCATCAACCTCGACTTGATAGAAGAAAGGCGTGACACGGCAGCCCTCCGCTAAGCAGCATAGTGTCAAGTTGGCGACCTGATACTAAGGAAGAATGAAGCCAGCCCAGGAGAACCAGAAGGCAAGCTAGTACCAACCTGGGAAGGCCCCTACAAAGTCCTGGAAGCACACATGAAGGGGTCATACATCCTGGAAACGATGGAAGGAAGACCGATCCCAAAAACATGGAATATCCCGAACTTGAGACGTTTGAACTACTGAAAAACGAACACAAAAACTTGTCTTACAAAGACAGGGGCACGCATCCCCTCATTTATTTCCTATGTCTTTTTTCAGTCAAAAGCATGTAACAAATGATGGGCTGATCACCTCCTCCTTTTTTATATGCATTCAATACAAAGTATTTATTTTTAAAGTGCACAGTTATAAAAAGCTCGTGTGATGATAAAACGAAAAACGAATCCAAAGCCCCTGGATTTGACCTGCCATGATTCTAGAGGTCAATGCCTCGACCTTATATTCTTAACGGTATACAGTTCCAAATCCCCTGGCTTTGATATGCCATGAGTCCAGAGGCCAATGCCTCGACCTTATATTCTAAACGGAAAACGGTTCCAAAGCCCCTGGCTTTGACCTGCCATGAGTCTAACGCCTCGACCTTATATTCTAAACGGCAAACGGTTCCAAAGCCCTTAGCTTTGACCTGCCATGAGTCTAGAGGCCAACGCCTCGACCTTATATTCTAAATGGCAAACGGTTCCAAAGTCCCTGTCTTTGACCTGCCATGAGTCTAGAGGCCAATGCCTCGACCTTATATTCTAAACGAAAAACGGTTCCAAAGCACCAGGCTTTAACCTGCCATGAGTCTAGAGGCCAAATGCCTGAGCCTTATATTCTAAACGGCAAACGATTCTAAATCCCCTAACCTTGACATGTCCATATTCTAAATGGCTAAAAGTCTTGACCTTATAGTCTACACAACACACGATTCTAGGACCTTTGGTTTCGAGATACTTGGAGGATGGGAGCCAATGCAATGACTCCCCTTTTTTATTTTTTGGCTTAATAACTTATCAAGGGGTTGTCTAAAAAGACACTCCATTTTACCATATAGACACCCTAATTTAATTTTGAAATATTTTTATTGGTTGAAATTGCATTGTTTTCCGAAAAAGTTGATTATAAGTAGTTAACTATAGGTGAACTTTTTAAAAAGTAGTCAATAGGGTGTCCAATGGGTGTCTTATTAGCAACACCCCTTATCAAATGGTTTCAAGCTACTTGGAGTGCTATCCCATGCTACAAAGTAAATTCGTCCATGATTGACACTTCATCATTCTATTACTTTTAACCTCTAATTAAATGCCACATCTAATGGTTGACCTCTTTCAATAACTTTTTCTTTAAATTTAACTAATCTATCATTGTCTATTTAAAATGTTTTATATAAACACTTCATTTAATTTGTCGTTTTTAAAAACACATCATATTTTAATACAAACTTTTCTAATAAATATTATCGTTATAAATTTATATTTCACAAATAAAATGTCATTAAATATTTAATAAATTAATTAACTAGTAAATAAATAAATAACTTAAAAAAACTAAAGTATAATTAAGGGAAAGTAAAATATATTAGAAGATAAGAGGGTTAATTATAGGGTTGAACATGGTATGATACCAATTTATTTTTACTGAAATCCTGTACCGTACCAACTATAGTTGATATAATTTTTTTGCTACCAGTATCGTAACAGATATATTTGGTATCAACTTGTTTGGCTACCAATAAGTTTGCTTGGTACAAATTTATAACGATATATTAGCAACTTTGTTTTAATTTTCAAATGTAAAGGTTAAAGACTAGCAACGACATGGGACAATTTTCTTAGCTACTAATTTATAAATTAGTAATGTAACTTTTATAGTTACTATATAATTTTATTAACTTATTAGTTTTTTGATTTAATGAAGTAATAATTAATAACTATTGACTAGGCCTATTGTCTAACATCATGTTTTTAAAATTAATATAGTTCAACCCTATAATTTACAATTTATCGAATATGTACCGTATTTACAATTTAATATCATTACTATACCAAGTTTATCGAATATGTACCGTACTACAAACCAAGTATGTTGTCTACCAAGTATATTGATAACCAACTTTGTGGTACATATTTGACAATCTTAATTAATTATACAAATGATTAAACTATATTGACCACTCAATATATAGTAAGTGGTCAATAATAAAAATATGAAAAAAACTATGTACTCCAATGACAATAAATGCTCAATATAAATAAGTAAATAAAAAAAACTAAAAAAAAAAAAAAATTTCCGATGCTCTAATAATAAACAAGACAAAATAGCTGTCAAAAAATATCTTTCCATGATTTTCACAATGCAAGCATTGTGAAATTACTTTATGTCCGATAAACAATAATTTCGCAATATATGCCTCCTATCATGCAATGGTCTTGTGAAATAAATTATCATTTTTAGCTACTTTTCCAATTGGTGGTCATTTTGTTAAATCTATACGCATTAGTTGACTATTTATTTGGCTTTCTCAATGAATATCATTGACCAAGGAATCAAAATTAACAAATCTCCCTATATCTAATAAAAGAAACAACACTCCAAGAATAACATATTAAAATTCCATTTAATCCGACTAAACAAAAAGCTTATTCACAATTTGTTCTTAAATTTGTTCTTAAAAGTTAATGGCCCAATTGGTTATTTAAGATTAACACAAATATATTTACTATTAAAGAAAAAGATTAATCAAACTGAAATATAAAAGATGTGCTACAAAAAGACCCACTCCACATTAAACAATAACAAAAAGAGTTACAATGGCAGAAGAATAACAGGGCAAGGAATGAACTCAGCTAACAAGTTTGCATCTACATGCTTTGAATGGATGGCTTCCATACTCATAATAACCAAATCTAAATTCATATCATCTGCAATTTCACCTATAATTGCAGTAGGCTTGCTTCCTTCCCCAAGTCTCTCTAAAAGCTTGAATTCTTGGAATCCCCCTTTTTATTTAAAGAAAAAAAAATTCAAGATTTATTAATCAAAATCACAAATCAAAAGAACATGGTGTACTGTGTTTGGCATGCATTGGACTGAGACTGATATTGATGTCGATGGTACAAACATTGCAACTTTTTTTGTCCCTCCCCAAAAAGGTGTAATAGGGACTTGTTCTCGATATCTCATATGTGAAAAAGACGTAAACGCCCTTCTCACCCTCATCATCCAAAATAGCCTTAAAAAGCTTGTCCAGTTTTGTGTAACAACCGCACTGCGTTTGTTACAATTAAGTGGAGTGGACAAGCTTTTTAGGGCTATTTCAGATGATGAGGATGAGAAGGGCGTTTACGTCTTTTTCACATACGAGAGATCGAGAACGAGTCCCTATCTCACCTTTTTAGGGGGGACAAAAAAAGTTGCAATGTTTGTACTGTCGACATCAATGTCAGTCTCAGTCCAATGCATGCCAAACACAGTACACAGAAAGAAAGCAGGCCTACCTTCAGACAAATGCCAACGGATGCTTGAAAGTTGAGTGTCATGCTCAGGTAATGATTCTTTCAGCTTTTCGTCAATGACTACAAAACAGAAGTTTTATACAATTTCATTTTTGGCTTCATAGAGGTTTTTATGAATGAATTTGTGTTTATTCAATTAAATTTATAAAAAGTAAAAGAGAGTCATACCCACAACAGTTATGTCAGCACCATATTTCTTGGCCAAAGCAGCTGTAGTTGCTGCAGCCTATTAAGAGTCATGAATGAATCAGAAGAAAAAGATTAAAGATTTTATTCTCATTTATTTAATAATACTAATAAGGGTGGAAGCAATAACCTGTCTAGTTCCTTCAGAGAGATAAGGATTCCTATCTGTTATTGGAAGAAGAAGGTGTTTGAATTCAGAAAAGGCCTCAGCAACTGAATTGGCCCCAGAAGCTTGTGGTTTGACTGCAACTGAGATAAGTATGATGGTTAGAACATGAGTAAAACAAAAGATTCTACTCAAAATCTATTTTTCATCCTGATAAAAGATATGCAAAGAGTGATGATCTGTAATGACCTATTTTCATTTGAAACTATTTAGGTCCATCTGTAATTGCTGTAGTGAAGAGAAACTAATGAATCCAAAAATCTATTTTCAAACTATTAATGTCATTGACTTTACTTCCATGATTGATGATCTTTTATCTCGTCAGTTAGTGAATAACATTTAGGGTTTTTGACCTATTCTTAAACAAATTCATGGATAGACGTCCAATTTCGATGGGAACAACGAAAAATAAGTTAAAGAGCAATAATCAAGGCTATCACCATAGCACATTTAATCAGTTCGAGATATAATTAGCTACTGGTTCTTGTCAACATGAACTGACATTTAAAGTAACAGTAGAGGAACAAATTCCATTAGATTTCTCAAAAATATTGATACGAAAAACATTATTGATCACAACTCAATCATATTCGTAAGAAAAATATACCTGTTCGACAATTTCTTAGGATATCCGGAAAACTCGAAAGCCTTCGTGATTCACGGTTGCGGGAATGAGATGAAAATAAGGAAGATGTCGATAATGATGATTTGGGAGAAATTGCAAAAGAAGAAGTTAGTATAGAATGTTTTGATGATGTTTCGATATGAACAAATGATGAATAGTTTGCGAACGCCATTATCGGACAAATCGTAACCCTAATAGTAACCCTTTTCGGTGAGTTTGAGCAGCAGAGTGTAGTAGAGTCTAGAAATTGGATAATGCAAGAAGAGATCGCTTTGGGTCTTTTGAGACTTTGACCACCTAAGAATTTTTTTTAAGAGAATATATTTAGTTTAAAAATTCAAGGAGAAATGTCTATTTATTCATTTTTTTAAACAGCCGGCAAAACAAAAAAATATACACCCCAATAATATAAACCTATTTTTTATCCAATTAAATGTCATAAGCATTGTCATATGTTTTTAGTTCCAGATACGTTTCTAGCCTTCAAAATCATCCAATAATGCACTAAACTAAAGACAATCTCATCTTTTGAGTGTTATTGTCCCCAAGCGATCACATTGAGCATCCCATTAAGGCATTTTTCCTCCAAACAAATCAAGTGATCCTCAGTGGGATCCATCCAATCCAAGCAAACGAATCTATACTATATGTATCAGACTTCAAGTTGCCTTTAAGGATATGATAGAACCCTTGCCATCAACATTCCAAACCTCAAAAGGGCTTTTAGTCAAGCGGTATTAGGTGGTGCCCTCAATTTTTAAGGTCGATGGTTCCGTCGTTAACGTATGTGGATTTATGTTTTAGTTTAGGAGTAGATTATATATTATATTTGCCGTTTAAAAAAAAACATTCCAAATCCACATGTCAATTTCATTCTTAAACTGAAATCATTTAATATTTTATTTAAAACATAAAATTTTCCTTTTGAAGAGAATATTCGAATCGATAACTTTTTCACCAAACTCCGAATCCAATTTAGAGATTTCAAGCCCAACATTTTTTATCGATCTTTTAGCCAAAAGCTTGCCGTAAATCAACTTAATACCATGTATAGATTAGATATAAGAACACCAATTGAGTCGTACCTGATTTTTAACCGCCACCACCATTTAGTAAGAAGCGTCAAGGCCACCCAAATAGTTTTCTTTTATATTCATCTCCTCCCCAAAAAGCATCATCTCAAACTATCTAACACATTAATTACTTTTTAGGTGGCTTAAAAAAGGAAAAGTAATAAAACGTGAGACTACAAAGAACTGAGTTAACAAGGGTAAGTCTACCTCCAAACGAGAGACTTTTAGCTTTCCCTTAGGATAATTTTGCCTTAAGTTTGTCATTATTGGATTCTAATTCTTAACAAGTTTCATATTAGCCCTAACTGAAAGGCCTAAATAACTGAAGGGAGGGAGGCGAACTCACATTTAAATATGCAAGCAAGTTTATCGATCTCCAAGCTATCAACATAAATCTTGTACACCTTGATTTTATGAGTCAACCCCAAAGCAAGAAAAAAAAACGAAGAAACCTATGAAGATTAATAAAATTAATTTCTGACCACTCGTCAATAAAGATCATATCGTTGATGTATGTAAGATGTGAAAAAGAGATACCATTCAATGGAAGAGATAAACCTCAAACATAATGAAGTTCACAAGCCCTTTTCCATATAGAGCTCCTCCATGGCAACGATAAAGAAAAAGGTCGATACCAGATCCTCTTGACTCACTTCTCTAATGTTTTCAAATTCCTTTATGGGTGAGCCGTTGACCAAAACCGAGGCCCTACTTGATGAAAGACAACCCCTAACCCATATTATTCATTTTCATCCAAACTCCATTTGTTCCACAATCAAGTTAAGAACTCCCAACTAAACAAGTTAAAAACCTTATCGAAGTCCACTTTGAAAATCAAACTTTTATTCTTACACTTTTTGGTCCAAGAAACAACTTCATTAAGTAAGAGCGGGTCATCCAAGATGTTTCTATCTTCCACATAAACAGTTTGCTCGGTGCTAATAATATTATCCAAGATTTCTTCAAAATGATTAGCAAGAATCTTCAAAAGAACCCATTATAAATATCCAATTCGTTCTTTTCGCCAACAAAACCCTTACCACTATCCTAATTAGAAAATATGGACTTGTTCGGTTTTAGTCAAAAACCGACTCATACTCATCCCTAACAAATTTTGATGTCAAGGTTAGTTTTTGTAAATAGTTACAACCTCAAGGACTTTTTATGGATAAGTTTAGGACGAATAGAGTCAGAGTTCGCCATTGTGGTTCTTCCATGGAAGAGAACAACAGTTACACCACTGATGGCGACGGCGGCTCAACGGAAACTCCGCCACCGCCAAAGGAAGGTATGACCACCGTATCTCATCACTATTTCGGAGATTCAAATGGCTCCGACGATGCCGTCTCTATCACAATCATCGAGGTTTTTCCCTCTTCACGAGTTTCCCTTCTCCCTTTTTCTGTAAATTGATAAACATTTCGATCTAGCTTGCCTTTCTCTAAGCACGAATACATAGAAAAAATCTCATTGTTTCGTAGCAAGCGAATAAGGTGTGAATTGCACAAAATCACCTACTAAAGGCCACGATCAAATGTACAGAGCATGAAAGAAGACTACGGCTTGTTCGTGTGGCCATGTAGTGTTATTCTAGCGGAGTACGTATGGCAACAAAGATCTCGATTTACTGGAATTCGCGTGATTGAGGTAATTTCGAAACTTAAACACACACAATTTACATCGTTTTAGCTTCTTTGTTTTAGATAAATCATGATTCATTCCGTGTTCTGTTTATGATTAATCGATTATCAATCCTTCAATCTCAACATAACGTTTATCTGCAGCTTGGAGCTGGAACATCACTTCCTGGCTTGATTGCTGCAAAAGTAGGTGCACATGTCATTCTTACTGATGACTCCAACAGACTAGAGGTATAAACAAGGCTTTTACAATGTACATTACTTGTAATTGTAATTACTCTGAATCTGTTTCTTACAAGCTTGTAATATTCAATTTGCAGGTTTTGGACAACATGAGAAGAGTCTGTGAGCTTAATAATGTCAAGTGTGAGGTAATAATTCATGTAGATAACAACTGTTAATAATCATCTTTATTTCCCCTTTCTGTGTGTATATACACTTCCATGGATTTTTTCTAGTCATTTGAAGCTTTGAACACATGATACATTCATATATTCACCTCAACTATGTCTTATAGGTAATGGGGCTTACATGGGGTGTATGGGATGAATCCATCTTCAGTTTGCAACCACAAGTAATCCTTGGAGCTGATGTGTTGTATGACTCAAGTGGTAGGATATAAGATACATCATATATGCATTATTATCATCCATTTTCTATGCTTATATATTACATAAGAAGTTTAAAGTTCCCATTTATAATGTTTTTGTGACATATTACAAAGCCTTTGACAATCTCTTTGCAACTGTGAAATTTCTTCTGGAGAATTCACCTGGATCAGTTTTTATTACAAGTTATCACAATAGAAGGTAATAATTGTTTTAAATTAGACAATTAAATACTCTTTACTCTTTCAAGTTTCACCCCTATGAGATTGTTTTTTTTTTTTTACTTATGCAGTGGGCATCACCTTATTGAGTTCTTGATGGTGAAATGGCAATTGAAATGTGTGAAGCTTCTGGATGGATTTTCGTTCCTTCCTTCTTGGAAGGCTTCTGGTTTAAGTGGCAACATTCAATTGGTTGAAATTCGAGTTTAGATTGTTAATCTATTAATCTTTCTGGTGTTTGTATCTTCTAGATTGTTTATTGTGCAAAGTTCCATACTACACACTTCTAGGTTAGCTAAAATGACATATCTGCATTGATTGGAAATTTGGAATCACATTCTTTACAATCCACGTTAATCTGAATTACAATCCATAAAAATTGCATTACGAGGTTGTTTGATATGCCTCTTATTGGGTCTGGTAAAACTGTAAGAGGCTGAGTTTGACTCGGTCAAATTCAGACTGTTTGATACCACATTAGAAGCCTGTGACTTGGTCTTGGCTCTTCTGATATGCCTCTTGCTTGATCAGATTCACTGGGTTTGATTCAGTCAGACATTGACTCAATCAGATCTGACTCAATCAACAACTATCAAACAACTCCTAAGTCATGTTGAGGCCTTATGTTGTAGATAGCTAATAAGACACTATAATATCATGGATATGGATATTTCGTGCTCCCATGAGTAAAAAATGTCCTTTAAATTTACATCATCAAAGTGAGTCTTATTAAGACATGATAGGAATAGAATCTATCCCATGAGTTTTTATAACGCCCTATATTTTTCATCACTTGGAAGTAGCAATTAACGTACAATTCAAGTGTTTGGATGGGATAAATAAAAAGTGTTTATTTACTTGAATAAACGGTTTTTGATAAGTTGTTTACTACTAATTTATTTAAAACTTATTATAGGTGAAAACCATTTTATCTTTTTACCTCTATTTTAACCATAAAAAATATATATATATCGCAAGAACATCGTTTTTAAATAATCTATGAGGATGTCCTTTTTGGTTATTTTACATTTATAAACAGAATTTACCAAACATTAAAATATAAGGTGATGTTTGTTTTTTTTGAGGTAAAATGTCTGCAGTCTGCGGACCATATCTTTAGACCTCTGCAGTAGAAGAGGTGGACCAAACATCTGCAGTCTGAAAAAAGAAGACTGTTTGTTTTTGTAACATTTGCAGGCTACTAAAATAAACTAAAATCTAAATAAATTGATTTTTTTAAACTACAAAGTGATTATTTAATATATTTATGACTTTGTTATAAAAAATTAACAAATCTAAATCAACTTTTATGTATTATTGCATAAAAAGTGAAAATAAAAATGGTACAAATTAACGTATATATTTGATAAAAAACAACAATTTTGGTCGCAAAGTTATGCCTAAACATTGTAATTAGGAATCAAAGAATTTGATATATAAATGAATGGAAATAAACTTCGATTTTTTCAATTAAATCAATTAAAAACGTGTCATAAATATTTTTTCTAAGAAATTGACGATGCTTTATTAAATAATGTTTTATAAACTTTGGCACAAAAAATATAAGAATATATTATTTTTTTTCATATTTATATAAACAATTTCAACGACTATTATTGTAATAAACTTTTATTTATAAATTTGTCAAAAATATCATGTTTGTGTCGTCGAACTTTTTTTTTTTTAAGTATTGTAATTTTTTTTTTCAAATTGTTTATCACTAATA